GCTCAATAGTAACCATAGAGGTTTCACTAGCTGGGTAATGTATGCAAAACTAATTTCACAGGAACAAGAGCTTGAGTGCGTCTGTATCAGGGGTCTCCAACACAGAGCTTGTTCTCTAATCTTAATATAAACATTTTATCAGAATAAAGTTGCAAGGGAGTGTACAGATTAGGCTATTGTGTCAAAACATTTAAATTCATTACTCTTATATTTTTATTAATTACGATATAGTTAGTACATATCGAGTACCACAATGGAAATAGGTATTCGTTGAAAATGTCTTATGTATTTGTCGCATTGTTTGACTTGCTATATATATTCTGACACGTCAAAAGGAAGGAGGAAGGTTCGACTTCAAAATAATGAGGTACTCCAACACACCGTCTCACTTGCTGCTGAAGAAATGTTATACAGGGTATATATAGTCATACCCGATGAAGGTCATAGAGACAGACACATGGTGTAAATAGGAAAACCTATTTTTTCAGTAGTAAGCGAAACAGTGTGGGAGTACATCGTTTTCAAATGAAAGAAATTAAAAAAATATTGACACTAGCCTTTATTACATGTTTGCTTCACATCTGCAATTCCAGATCAAATCGGTTCAAAACTGTATATGAAAATGACTGAAGGGGAAACTACACACTGCTATGTTACTCTATTGAAACCATAAATTTAACATGGATGCATGTGAAGTACACAGAGGAGCCCTTCTGACAATGTTCTCCCTTTAGGCAGCCCTCAGGCTGGAGACCCCTGGTCTATGTTAACAGCATTTTTATGCACATGTGAGACACTACAAACAGGTTGACACTCTGAAGAACCAATTTTTGCCTTTAATACCTCACAGTGGCGCACCAATTCATATTCTACTCCGGGAGGGTACGAGTTAAGATCTAAGGGGACAGTCACTGGGACAGATGCAACTGTCATAGGGAAGTTGTGGCAGGGGTCGGGTACGTTATAAGCGGTGGAGCACTAATAGAAAATGGTACAGAGCAAAATACAGAGGCAGAGACAAAAGACACCTGGCAGAAATGGAAAGAAACTGCAGAGTGAAAGTTTACTGTGGAAGAGAAGTTGTCAAGTAAATTCAATCATTAAATCCATTTACATTTCAAGGGATGACTGAATTTATGTGCTGCAGTCACATTCCTGCTACTCTCCTTATCTGAAGTAATACTGCTCACTATGGCAGGGTAAACATTAAAAAAGGACTGTATGCCACCTTGTACTGAGACTGAAAATCCATTGCAACAAGAAGTAATGCCTTGTTATAGGCTGCATTTTTTTTAACCTTCACAGTATATTCAGATTTACATACTGACAAAGGCGATATCAGCATGATTGATGTATCCTTTCTACAGCAGCAGCGCTGGACCATAGGAAACGGTTAAATTCACTTTCATCCATTATTGGGCAAAATCTATGTTTCAATACACAAAAACTAAAAACAGGCTGCAGGTGTACGGATACAAATCCCTTGTGCAAAATATAAAGATGGAACATACAGGTCTGACATAATAGGCCTGTTCTGTGTCAGGAGTTTCAAAGTGACACATGACAATCAAATTACTGGTTTCATTTCCATATTATACAGTTGATTTATCAGAGTGAGGCTGGGGGGTATAAATAAATGTGAAAGAGAAAGTGATGAAAAACCTTCAGTCACATAGCAACAGTAAATGTGGTTTACAGTGACTTTTCCATGGAAGTAAAATGACCTAAATGACACAAAAATATCCAAAACAATGAGCCACAGACACATTCAGTGGAACTAGCAGAGGAGGGATAAAACTTTACCAACTTTCCAATCTAAGAAATGAATGGCTTGAGAATTTAAACACAAAACAGCCCAAAAAGGATTGAGAGAAGAAAACAATCAAAAATAAGGAGACGAGTGGAGTGCATTGGTGCAGTGAAGCAGCCAGGACTCCCAGCAGTGAGGTGGTGGATGACTTGAGATTTTTGTTTGCTTGGGGGGGGGGGG